CCGGCAAATTGTACTTTGGTATCATCGGCGTGGCATAACGCAACTACACTCTAATTGCGGCCGGATAAAGTTCTGTCGAGTCCACCTACTCCTGAAACAGCAGCTAGAAATCTAGCCAACTTGAATTGGCTATTTTTGAGTTAACAACGGCCACGGCCAAGTGCACGATACTCAAAGTTTGTTTTCATATGAGAGGCCCTTCCCTTGGCCTCGTTTTGAAACCAAGGCCTTATGTATCTTGTTAGTGTCCTGTTTAGCTGAGTGGATGTTAAAGGGGGTAAGTTTCTAAAGAAACTGTGGTGCTGCGTCGGTGAGGATAACAAGGTAATTTGGTTATATCAACTGAGTTGACATTGTAAACTGGCCACTGTAAAGAGTTAAACAGCTGACGTTTTCGAGCGTTAGCCCTTCCTCAGAGCGAATCATTCGCTCTGACGAAGGGATAACGCTCGAAACGTCAGCTTTTAACTCTTTGTTACGGTGGCCAATTTACAATTTCAACTGAGTGGATGTTAGCCGAAGTAATTCTGTGGTAACTTTTTGCAGAACCAAAAGTTCGTAACAAACGGCAAGTAACATGAATAGACAGGAGATCGAACGCCAGTGTCATCAGTGTCTCTACCGATCATGAAGCGATTAGGAAAAATGTATGACTTGCTATCAAGAGCCAGACTTACAGTGTTCACTGCCCCAAGAGCATCAGGGGAAGACGGGGCAGATCTGGTAATGGAGGTCCTCCAGGGCCGCAGGGAGTAATAGGACCTAAAGGAAATCAGGGCTCCCGGGGAATTCAGGGACCGCCCGGACCTACGGGCCCTCCTGGAGCTAAGGGCGAGCCTGGTATATCTATCTCAGCTCCCTCCATTGTGACGCCTCCAATGCCAAAGGTGGTAAACGAATCTGGCACAGCCTTGTTTCAACGTGAGTTTGAAGGAAACCCACAGCCCAAAGTCCCAGGGCTGAAGGATAACTCCAGTCTTCTCACGAACAAACGAATTGTTCCGTCACGTGCGGGTCTGATGATTAATGACGTTAGGTCAGAAGATGGTGGAAAGTACACCAGTGTGGCAAGAAATATTCTTGGAATAATTATGTCATTGGCTGAGCTGTCTGTTCAAGGTAGGAAATAACTATCTTACGTAAAGGCCAGATACATTTTTTTATCTACATTACTCGATAGCGAACATAAAAAGGCAACATTAACATTTTATTCTCTCGAATTATTTGTCCAACGTTAAAGATTTGAAACGTTTATTTATCTCCAAGGAGGAAAACATTTATTCGATTCTTTAACTGAAGACATATTCCTCACGTTCCTCAAATAATAGAAATCTACGGTAAAGTCATCGATCGTTAGGTGCTAAAAAATGTTACAGTGCAGAAATTTTGAAATGAGTGACGGTAGAATATTCGAAAGTGTAGGAGTTGGCGAAAAAAATGGGACTTGAAATAACCCTACTCCACAATAATTTCTACCAGTCATGGCCGGGATCCTGCCCATGTTATACACTGCACATGATCTGGCTACCTTATATCATTTTGTTTTTCACTGTTCAACCTAGTTGGTGCGTCTATCATCCAAAAACCCACATCCGTTATTGCTAAAGGAGGACAAGACGTGACTCTGGTCTGCTAAGCTACTGGTCGGCCGACACCAACGGTCAGGTGGCTAAAGGCAGTTGGTCACATGTCAAAGGAAAGATCAAGAATTCTTGATGGAAGACTGGAATTGGACAGTGTGACTAAAACAGACGGTGGAGACTACATATGTTCTGCTAAGAACGTTATTAGCATGGAATCGGCCCATGCACAAGTTATGGTGTTCGACGAACGTAAGTTTACATTACCTCCACCTAGTAAAAGCGAAGCCACAACCTCAGAAAACGTGTTACTGACTTGCGAGGCACAGGGGTCAAGACGGAAGTCGTGTGGCAGAGGAAAGCACAAGGTCTGCCTTCGGGTCACGTAATTCATTCAAATGGCTCCCTGCTTCTTAAGAATGTTTACCCAAATGATTCTGGATCCTACACTTACTTGTCGGACTGTGCATGTCTAAGGCGGGAATTTACGCCGTACTCTTGCCATCTGCTACGACATAATCACTTCGTTCCCGCAGTGGTGGGTACGTCAGAATTTGCTGTAATATTTTGTTTTGAAGTCTTAATTATTTGAATTTTTTCCTTATGATTAAATTAATTGCGTTTCTTTACGAGTTGATGAAGTATGGATAAACGCAATTTGGTCAAAATTTATTTGTAGAACTAAAAAAGATGTCAAAACCAGGGACAGCCTCAGGTGCCGCCGCCAGCACCGTCCAAGCGGTAATCGTATCTCCTTATCGTTTTCGTTTGTTTTATTCTTTTTGACTCAGTCGAGTTCTTCGGTTTGCTTATCCGGCACTAAGCTGGTGGATACTGATACGTGTAACAAGTTACTAGAATGTTTATTTATTTCTGTTAATTTGATTTTTACAACAAGCCAATGGAGTGGACAACAACGCACGTGTTGCTGTGCAGAGAAATTTTGGTACAGCAGTTTTATAAGTTCAAGAAAGGGAGTAATGAGAGAGGAAGAATTTGGACGCAAATTTCCGAGAACCTCAACTGTGTAACTGCGGTCAAATTCAAAGTGAATCAAAGAGCGGTAAGAGAGCGATTTGACTTGCTACTCAGAAGATTTTGACAGCAAAGTAGAGAAGAAGAAAATGCAAGTGGTATATCTCCCGAACCAACAGAACTCGACGCACTGTTGGAAGAAATTTCTGAAAGAGAGAAATTAGCAGAATCAACGAGAGAATCGTGTAGCAGGAGTGTCGAAACAGATCGCAAAAAATCCGAAGAGACGCGTTTCCAAGCCTTGGAAAGAGTTTGTGAAATAAAAAGAAGGGCTAATGAGGACTGTGAAAGAAAAGCGAAAAGACAACGAAGAAGCGGAGCTGATGTTGTCGAATTTCTACGGGAAAAGTCAGAAAAGGAGCTTAAGATCCACGAAGAGGGGCTCGCTTTGAAAGCAAAAGAAGTTGAATACGAAAAAGAGAAGCAAGCACAGATGTTTAAAACCAAGGAGGCCATGATTACAAGAGGCTCTGGATGGGGGTGCCTCGAAAACACTAAACACTAAAATTTTTCCATCTGTAACATCAAACAGTTAAATTTTAGGCTGTTGAACATCTAACACTAAAACATTCACTGTAACACTAAATTTGATACAAATGTAGGCGCAAATGGCTTAAAAAAGTGAAAGATACTAATCAAGACAAACGTGGACATTCGATATGGAATAATACCTACAATTAATTTACAGACTTATTTTGATTACAATTTTGGGTTTGTTTATTGTTTAGGTTTCTATCATGGAAAATCATGGGAGACTATTTCTCAGCAGAAGGGTACATTATGCTCGACAATGAAAATTTTCCTCTGTCGTTATTACACTTTTGAAATCTTTCATTTCAAAAATATGTTTAATCAATCATCATGCTCCTTTTACCTACCGGGAAAAATGCTTTTGCGTCCTCACTGGCCAATCTTCTCGTTTCTTAGCACATGTATCAGAAGCAAGCCAGCCTTTGAATCTGAACTCCCCTTGCCTTCCCGGGTCCAAGGTAGCGCTATTTTCGGGTTTTCATTTAATTGACTCTGGATCACAGAGTCATTCACAAGGTGATGTATATGCGCACGCCCGATCGTGCAAACTCTACAAGTCAAGGCGAAAATGAGCGCGAATGGCGCGACCAGACCTGGTGAGTGTTGTTGTGTGGGGGCAGGAGCCGTGATCGTCATCATCCATATCGCTGCCAGAGTCGGTGTCGTATTCATCCTCTTAATTTGGCACTTCACCAACGGCAACTGAAACCATAACTCAATAACAAGAAGTTGAATCAAGTCCAATAAAAGCTGAGGGAGCCAAATAGGGTCAGACTGAAGGATTAGATGACCAAAACGCAGGGCGCATATATTTTTCATGTCTCTCTTGTGATTACAAAGAACTGCGTTGAGATACTGTCCATCAAAGAAGGACTTAATTTTTCGAAATCTCTCAACCTCTTCGGTCAGTTATGGAGAAGTCAAAGATGAACCCAGTTCATAACAAGCTGGTGTTTTCCTCGTTATTTCTCGCCGTTGTTTGCTTCGCCGGCCTGATTCACGTCGAGATCGAGCTTCACGCTCATCGACAAATGCTTCAAGCCTTGAATCAACCAAAAGAAGAGCAACTTGAACTGAAGAACGCAGCAAATGACGGAAAGACGAATGAGATGAATAATTTATGTCCTTCCACAGACAAAGGTGAGTTAAGCACACAAAACTTAGAACTCTGAAAAGGACTTTTAACTAGAATTAATTTTAAAGGTTTTCTTTTGAAATTCGTTCATATTTTCGTCTACTAGTTCTTCCATGACTGTCTTAGAGTTTTAATTCGCTCTGATGAGGGGCTAACGCTCGAAACGTCAGGTTTTTAACTCGTTGCGGTGGCCATTTTACTATAACAACTTAGTTGATGTAACCAAATTAAGTTGAGCTTTAAAGCAAGTGGCTCCCAACCCAATTAAAATCTTTTTATGTTTCGGAAGTTTCATTTGGTCGTAAAAATTAAAGAGAGAAAATTCTCCATAATGCGTATCACATCTGAAGACAAAAGAAACGTTTCAGACGAGCTCGTTCAATCTCAAAATACGGGAAGTGAAAGTTATTTTGACAGTTTAAAAATTCTTTAGATTTATGATAAATATAATCATAGGCAATCAAATGTCCAGAGTCAGCTGCTAATCTACTTTAATGACGATATGTTTGGTTTTGTTTCGGCGTCGTTCTGATTTCAAAGCAATACTTCCCAGGTCTGTTTCAAAAATTACAAAAAGATAAGCAAGAGCTGCTTTAAATTTCCCCCTTTATGATGGGCACTTTTACCGTAGCAATACTCAATTTAGCTCGAACGGCTGGGGACGCTGAATCTTAACTCGGTTCACACCAATAATAGAACAGGTTATGAGTTTGTAACAAACTCGCGTAGATAAATATGCTTTGGACACAATGTTTAAACAACTCTTCATACGAGAGGATAAATAACATGCACCTCAAGAGACATACGGCGAATCGAGCATCGTAATCATAACACATAATTTGTCGCGGTATCGCGACTAATCTCTAGTTTTCCCGTCGTTCTGTCGAGTCCTCTCATTTCCGAAAAAAAAAAA